AGAATCCGTCAATATATCATTCATGACCTGCTTTGTTTTATTTTCAAATTACATTTTTTCGGTGCAGAAACTAAGTTAAGCTTGGTTCAAAATATTTTAAATAAACATTATAATTTCTGATTTTCTTAAAATAAGTTTTGAAAAAATGATAATTGATACTTAAAAGAATTTCAAAGGGAGATTTTCAGTTTTTTTATAAAATGGAAAAAAAATAATCAATTTTGCTGACTCAAAAGAAACAACATTTTTAACGAAAATTTCAAATGTGCTAGGAATGATTAAAAAATGTAAAAAATACCCCCGAAATAATTTGATCTTTCCTCTTAATAATAACATAAACATTTAGATGATAAAATTTTGTATTTGTCAAGTTTGGCGTCTTTTTCTTCATTCTATGCTTTTTTTTTTTTTTTTTTTAGAGGTACCTATATATATATATATATATATATATATATATATATATATATATATATATATATGATGTCCATAGAGTTTGTGTGCACTTTAAAAAATTTATAACTTTATTAGTGATAGAAATAATCTGTAAAAAATGTTATAAAGTTTAATGTACCTAGTTTTAAGTATAGCTAAAATAACTAATGTGATTTCCAGGCATTACTGTAAATCAGTTGGCAAATATTTTCCATGAACTGCAAAATCATATTACTCTTTGTATTGCTAATGATGGAGGACATGTGGAAAGTTAAATAAAATTTCAATAAAACCTTAAAAAATATAGATTTACTTCTTTCTAATCCTTTTTACAAATTATTTCTATCGCAATTACAAATAAAGTTATAATTTTTTTAAAGTGCACATGAACTTTATGGACACCCTGTATAATATATATATATATATATATATATATATACATACACACACACACACACACATTCCTGGCTGCTATTATTTCTAGTTAATGGCTTTCATGCTTATTCAAGAGAAGGATATGATAAATTAGAGGTGTTGAGTAGCATAACATTTCTTAACAGAGAAAAAAGAATTGGGAAAAGACATGAATCCACTTCTCCCTGCATTCTGATATATTACTAGATATTTTACCCCCTCCACCAAATCTTTTATCATTGCTATGCCGCAATGGTTGATAAAGTGAGCACTTCAATAGACCACTCTTTGGCAAACATGGATTTTCGTGCCTGCAAAAAAATGAAAATATTAAAAGGATATGTTTTCCCCATGAGACCACGTTTATTTCAACTACACCTCCTTGGTAATGTTAATATTGTTTTTAAAAGCAATGATTAGAATTGTAATAAAACCCAAATATATGATGAAAATGGATTTATATATTTTTTTTTTTTTTGTTCTTGAGAATTTACAACAAAAATATTAAACACTATTTATTAGATTGTTTACTTACAAGAATAATTTTATATTTACAACATTCTAAAAACTAATACAATTAGAACTAATGCAATGCAGTATTTGTCACTTACCATTTTTTTGCAGGCACAAATGTCCATGTTTGCCCACTCTTTTATAATACCTGCTCAGGTACATGTGCATACACATACGGACACACATTTTTTTCCGAGATGAAGAGTTATCATTATTCATACTATTTGTATTTGAACTCATTGTTCTTGCCGTTATCATATTTATGGGACAATGGCCAAGCATTGTTTCATGAATTTGTTGACAGTGGTTGAGTTCAATCCCTGGGCTGAGCAGCATGTACTTGAACATGGTGGAAACAGGTGAGCAAAAACTGAACACCTAAAAATAAGAACTAGTTGATATTTCTAGACATGGACAGCGGAACAAGAACATACTACCCTGCTAGATTAAATAAACAGTTCAGTTCAGAATTTCCTGTAGGTTACCCAGAGTCAATATACACCTGAGGCCGAAATGTGTTGAGAAGAAGAAAGATGCGGTCAATAGTCCAAATATAGTGTAAGTAACCATATTATGCCTTGACAGGAATTAGTTGTTTTCTATATAATGAATATAAAATAATAAGGACAATAAAGATTATAACCCCCCCCCCAAACCCTTCCACCCCGCTGAAAAAAAAAAAAACGGTCTGCTAGTGTATTCCTGGAAGTGAATTCTTTTAAGGCAAACAGTCTTTGTAAGTAAGAGTGCTCTCTATTCTGGAATAGAGCATTAATAGTCGAGAAATAGAATGATGAAACTGTTCAAAAACTTATCTTCCTGATCTTGAGTTTCACAGATGTAACCACCATTAAGATTTAATGCTCAGCTAACCACTGCCCCCTCCTCCTCCGATGAGCAGATAATATCTGGAAAACTTGTAGTTAGAAAGTGAGATTTTAAACTTTTTTTTTTTTTAATCTTATTTGTTTGCTAATACACAGGCTGTGGTAGAAATACTGCCCACATAATGGTAAGACATCTTAATGAAGACACCATTGTCACTAACATATTATTATTATGTGGGAGTTATTTCTGGCATACCCTTTATATATTCAGTTTCATTTAATAAAGTGTTTCTCAGCCTTATTCAGCTCTCTTTAATCCAATACGAGTTCTTTATGCCAACTAGAGTTCTTATTCCCCCTTCTTCCTGTCCCTCAACTTCATACATCTAGGGAAGTAGGAATATTAAAGGTTGTCGTTTGTATAGTTCTATGGCATCAAAACACTAACTCCACTTGTAAATCAAAGAATATTATCATTTGGATAAATAGTTTATTTGAATAAATTCATTTATTTACAAAACAGAAAAATACATGTACCATGAGCTTTATCTTGTATGGTTTCAATGGGGTCCCTGTGACTGGTGCAGGGCCGCCATATTGTCAATGGCTTGAAAGTCAGAGAGAAATCGCCTCTTTTTTCTACATCTTTAACAACAGATGCATCATCCAATTGAAACGAGACTCAATCAAATAAAATGTGGGAAAAGTGAATAAGAGCAACTTTACATCTTTCCAAAGTAATGGGTAATTCTTATGCATGTCTTCATTCATCCACAGATTCTGGTATCCTCCATACTTGAACCTCACTTGAGCTGCTGTGTTATTTTGAAGTTCAATGAAACTTTCTTGTAGGGTGATATCAACTTTAGATGCATCAGCAATGAAAGAATCCACAAACCAATGCGACATTGTCATTTGTTGTAGATCAGAGAAACAAGTTTTCATATCATTAATGCAACTGCTTCAAATGATCAACATACACTACTAGGTCATCATCAAGCAGCTCGGTGGATATATTTGCTAAGGAAGGAAACTGTACTGCAAACTCCTGTCTCCCAAGGTTCAACCAGAACAGCTTTAGTTTCCTGTAAAATGCGTTAATTGCCTCCTTGTAGGAAAACAGGATAGAGTCATTTCCTTGGAGCTCTTTGTTCAGGACATTTAGCTTTTCAAAGACAAATTGAGGAAAACATACCTTAATTTAAACTTTAAATTATGAGTTTTAAATTTTAAGAAATTGAAAAATAAAAAATGGCCATTTTGCATAGTTGAGATGAAAAAATTACAATAAATAAATATTTATATTAACAAAATGCCTTAGATTAATATTTAACTTAATTATAAATGTAATATTTTATTTTAGATAATAATTATTAATGACAAAATACTCCATATATTTTGTGGGTCCCAATTTTTCTGTCCCTTTTTCAAACTTGGCCTTGTGGCTTCTGAAAATATCTCATGGTCCACGAGGTGCCATATGACCCATGTTGAGACACCTTGATTTAATACACCAAAAATGTACGTCACTTAATGTCTTTCACAGTTTACCTTTCCTTTAAGCCATAACTATTAAAAATATTTTAGTGTTTTCTAATTAAAAAATTTGAACACTTCATGTTATTTTTTTTTCTTCGCATTGCTTCTGTATATAAATACAGGTTACTAAATAAAACTTCTACATTTACCTCAAGGAATGAAGACCATTGACATTTGTTTTCCTCTTATGATTTCTTTTTATCAATATCTGTTTTTTGATTTGATTGATTTGTTTTTCTATGACTTCAAAAGAATTTTTTTTTTTTTATTTGATAATGGTTTAGCAATACAAATCTTACTAATTAAGCCAAAGCCAGAGAGAGGAGATGGGTAATGGTTTGTTAAACAAATCTTACTAATTAAGCCAAAGCCAGAGGGAAAAGAGGTGGATAACGTTTTAGCGATACGAATCTTACTAATTAAGCCATTCATATCTGTTCAATGTATCTCCAAATGTAAACAAATGATGTCACATATTATGAAATGGAGAAAGTCCAACAATTATTTTAAGACATTTTTATATGCTTTGAGCAGATATGAATGTACATGAGAGATTCATGGAAGATTGAAATTTAAAGACAGTATATTCGACCTTGCTAATCAAACAATCCTCCGTGGCTCGATCGGTTAAGAGCATGTCAGGCTAAATGACGGTTCCACATAGGATACAGGTTTGATTCCTGTCAAAGGATGAATATTTTCTGTGGAAATTTCTGACATTCAGGCCAGTAAATGTTGTTAATACTATTTATTATAAAACAGAGCATTTATTTAAATATTTGTATCTATAAAAAGAATGTGTAAACATAAAAATGTCTTAAAATAATCTAATGTATGTTTATCTAAAACAAATGCTATGTATGTGAAAACATTCCCAAATTAACATGCAAGATATCAACAAACATAATGTCTACTAAAGCCAAAACCCACACACACATACACTCTTGAAAATATACATTATCATCTGAATGCCGTGTAGACAAACTAGAATTATTATGCATTTGCATATGTAAAGCAATATTTACAGTTTTTTCTTTTGGCTTGAAATCTGTTAATTTCATGGAACTTTGAAGAGATGTGTTGTCTTTCCTTGAATTTAAAAAGCCATGAATTATACTAGCATTTGTTTAACAAGTTGATTGCACAATGAAAATCAAACAACAAAAAAGTAAAAATACCAGAATTTCTTTCTTGTTTTCTCCATATCTCATTCCCTTAGGAAGCTTTAATAAAATTGAATGATAGATTCCTATTCGTTTCCTATCATTCTGCCAG